CGCTTCGCCTTGGACATTTTTAATCTGTAGCTCTGCTCTAACAGAACGTACGTACCTGGCCCCGCCTACTATCCTGGGAAACGTAAAATGATTGGCTAGAATCTAAAGTGTATCACAGCTCAGGGGAAAAAAAGCACCGAAATAAAGCACCAAAATGTGCGCTGCTTTTCGGTCTGGTTACTACCGTTTATGTCAGAACCGGTGCCATCATGGCACCGGACACCGGTACCCATCCCTAGTTATGAATGTGAAAAACAGCCAATTCTTGTGAATGTTTACACATGCGTTATCAGCTATTTACACAAATAAACAATCTCACCTTGTGTCTTCAGAAACATGTGGCTGGAAGTCATCTGGTAATTGTTGGCGGCAGGTGGGACAGAACGCCTGTCCTGCATCAAGGCTTTCCTTGATACACGTTAAGCAGTAGATGTGATAGCATGGCAGCCCCACTGGTTCTAGAGGCTCTCTCATGCACACCCCACATTCACCTCCAAACCTTCAGGAAAATGCAACCAACATCAATCAAATTACCTTTAAATTCTTCCATATTTCATATAAATTCATTTAAAGGCCAGCTTAAAGCAAGACAAGGCTTTACCTGAAAATCTGATTAGTTGCCCCCTGTTTACAGGACTTCAGGACCTCAACTACTGCTTCAAAAGCCTGTGTAGACTTTACATCCGAGTTTGTCTCCACAGCCTTAAACATAGGTTAAAATAATAAAGAATACAGTAATTATAATCATTATATTAATTTATTTAAGACAGAAGAACAAAACAATCTTATGCCCAACTAAGGTGCTTTGTCTCATTAAAACAGACTTCTGTGCAATATGGACAGGTTACAGACAAAAAGAGTGCCTCCATCATCTTGCGTAGGCGAAATTGCTGATGTATTGGCATTTTGTAAATTAAACCTAAATCAAACAATTTGCGCTGAATAATGATTGGTTATTTGACTAGGTGTGACTGTGACCTTTGATTTTAAACAAAACAAAACATAAACTAAAAACAAACACACACATATACACAAACACACTTACTCTACTAAGGGTTTTAATGTGGTTCAGGACCAGTGTCCTGAGCTGATTGTCTTCATTTTGGAAACCCAGCATCAAATGTTCCACAAACAACGAGAGGATGTAGATGCGCTTCCAACCATGACTGCAAAATATTACAGACCATGATCAAAGTTAGTATGTTCT